GTTCAAGACTTGTACACTAAAAACTACAAAACATCATTAAAAGAAATTAAAGAAGACCTAAATAAAGAGGAAGATATCTGAACTTGTGGATTGGAAAACTTAATATTAAGATGGCAATGGTCCCCAAAGTGATATACAGATTTGGTCCAATCCCTACTGAAATTCTAATCTCCTTTTTTGCAGAAGTGGACAAGGTGATCCTAAAATCTGAATGGAAATGCAAGGGACACAGAATAGCCAAAAACCATCTTGAAAAAGAACAAAGTTCTTTTCAAAACTCAGAATTCAAAACTCATTACAAAGCTACAGTAATCAAAATAGCATGGTACTGGGATAAGGATAGTTATAGATCAATGGAAGAGAATTGAGAGTTCAGAAATAAATCCACATCTGTGTCCATTGATTTTTGATAAGGGTGCCAAGATCATTTAATGGAAAAAGAATAGTCTTTTCAACAAATGGTGTTGGGATCAACTAGATATCCACACACAAAGAATGAATTTGGATCCTTACCTCACACCATATACAAAAAAATAACTGAAAATAAATGAAAGACCTAAATGTAAAACTGAAACTATGAAATTCTTTGAAGAAAACATAGGTGTAAATCTTTGTGACCTTGGACTTGGCAGCAGTTTCTTAGATATGATACCAAAAACACAACCAAAGGTAAAATAAATAAATAGAATTTCATTAAAATTAAAAACTTATGTGTATTACAGGATGCTGTTAGTTGACAAGACACCCCACAGAATGAGAGAAAATATTTTCAAGCCATGTGTCTTATACCAGTCTAATATTTAGAATATATAGAGAACTCTTGCAGCTCAAAAATATAAAGGACAAATAACCTAGGCCAAAAATTGGCAAATAATTTGAATAGACATTTCTTCAAAGAAGATTTACATATGTCCAATAAGCACATGAGAATATGCTCAATAACTTTAGTCATCAGGGAAATGCAAATAAAAACCACAATAATACTATACTTGTTAGGATGACTAGACTCAACAAATCAGAAAATAGCAGGTGCTGCTGAGGTTGTCAAGAATTTGGCCCTCATACAGACATACCTTGGACATCCTCCAGGTTCAGTTCCAGACCACTGCAATCAAGCAAATACCACAATAGAGCAAGTCAATGAATTTTTTGGTTTCCCAGTACATATAAGTTATGTTTATACTGTAGTCATAAGTGTGCAATAGCAGCATGTCTAAGGAAACAGTGTATGTGCCTTAAATAATGCTTTATGCTAAAAATTGCTAACAATCATCTGAGGTTTCAATGAATTGTAACCATAACAAATATAATAGTAATGAAAAAGTTTGAAATATTACAAGAATTACCAAAATGTAACATGAGACATGAAGTGAGCAATCACTGTTGGAAAAATGGTGTAGACAGACTTAGCACAGGGTTGCTACAAACCTTCAATTTGTAAAAAAACATGATATCTGTGAACTGCAATAAAATGAAGCATAGTCAAATGAGGTGTGCCTGTATATTGCTGCTGGGAATGTAAAATGGTGCAGCTGTTGTAGAAAACATTTTGGTAGTTCATGTTAAATTTAGAGTTACCATATGACTTAGTAAATCCACTACTAGGTATACACCCAAGAGAAATAGAAACATATTTTCATAGAAAAACTTGGATGTGAATATTCATAGCAGCATTATTTCTAATAGGCAAAAGGTGGAAACAAGCCAAGTATCCATCAACCGATAAATGAATAAGCAAAATGTGTTTGTTTATGCAATTATTTAGTCACGAAAAAGAATGAGTACAGATACATGGTACCAGATGGATGAATCTTGAAAACATTAGCGGCGCCTGGGTGGCTCAGTCGGTTGAGCGTCTGACTTCGGTTCAGGTCATGATCTCACAGTTCATAAGTTCGAGCCCCATGTCAAGCTCTGTGCTGACAGCTCAGAGCCTGGAGCCTGCTTCGGATTCTGTGTCTCTCTCTCTGTCCCTAACCCACTTGCATTCTGTCTCTGTCTCTCTCAAAAATAAATATTAAAAAAAATATTCAGAAAAAAAAGAAAAAATTAAATGAAAGAATTTTGCCACAAAAGGCCATATTCTGTATGATACTGTTTATTTGAATTGTCCAGAACTGGCCAGTCCATAGAGACAGAAAGTAGAGTAGTGGCTTCCAAGGGCTGGAAAGAGGAGAGAATGGGGAGTGACTGCTGATGGGTACTGGGTTTCTTTTTGGGGTGATGACAATGTTTTGGAATTGGATAGATGCACAACTCTGCATGTACTAAAAGTGACTGAATTGTATAATTATAAATGGTAAATTTTATGGCGTGTTAATCATATCTCAACCAAAAAAAATGAGCAAAATATTGCCAGTATTATACAGACTCTTCTAGAACATAGAAAAAGAACTCTGCCAGCATAACCTTGATAACCAAAGGTCTCAGGAGAAATAAAAATAGAGACCACTTAATAATACAGATGCACAAATCCTAAACCAAATATTGATATATTAATCTGGTTATTCAAATACTGGACAATACATCACAGTCAAGTTAGGTTCTTTCCAGTACCACAATGTTGGTTTTATCATTTGAGAATGAAATTAATATTTATCAAATTAGATGAATAAAGGTGAAAATCATATGATTGTCCCAGTAGACCTAGGAAAAATATTTGATGAAATTCAGCAAACTGAGAACGAACATCTTTACTAATAGAATCTTCCAAAGAACCTATGTAAACATCATACTTAATGGTGAAATGTTGAGAACTTTCCTTCTGAAATTGGGAATGAGACAAAGTCTGCCATCTTTACTTCTATTCAACATTGTCCTTAAGATCCTGGCCAACACAGGAAGACAAGAATAACATATAAAATATATAACACTTGGAGAGGAAGAAATAAATATGTCATTATTCACAGATGACATATTCATATTTATGTATTTAGAAAATCCAGAAGAATCTAAAGAGAAATTATTAGATGTATTGAGTAAGTTAAAGTTGCTGGATACAGGGGCGCCTGGGTGGCGCAGTCAGTTAAGCGTCCGACTTCAGCCAGGTCACGATCTTGCGGTCCGTGAGTTCGAGCCCCGCGTCAGGCTCTGGGCTGATGGCTCAGAGCCTTGAGCCTGTTTCCGATTCTCTGTCTCCCTCTCTCTCTGACCCTCCCCCGTTCATACTCTGTCTCTCCCTGTCCCAAAAATAAATAAACGTTGAAAAAAAAATTTTTTAAAAAAATAAAGTTGCTGGATACAAAAATCAATGGTAACAGAAAATGAAAAAAAAGTTAAATAGCTACCATTTATTCTTAGGGCTAAAGCTAAAAAAAATGTGCAAGACCTCTACACAGGAAACTATCATACATTTTGAGAGACACTGAATAAGGTACAAGTATATATAGGTATAAATAAGATATATATATATTTCTTCATAGACCAGAAGATACAATATTATAAAAATGTCAGTTTTCATCTAGTTGTTTTATAGAATATATACAATTACAATTAAAATTGTGTTTTAAATTTTTTTTCCTGGGAAATTGATAATCTGATTTTAAAATTTGTATGGAAATAACAAGGGGCTGGCATTAGCCTAGTCAAAGATATAGTGGGAGGATTTACTCTACTGCGTTTTGCATTTTATTTTAGAGCTACAGCAATGTAAGTTAGGTTGATATTGGTACAAAAATAGATAAACAGACCAGTGTAACAGAGGAGAGACTCCATGCCCTAAAAGACAATATTGGAGAATATCTTCCTGACCTGTGGTAGGAAAATAATTGCTTAAAATTGATGCAGATAGTATCAGTCTTAGATAAAAGAGTCACAAGTTAGACTACCTTAAAATTAGGGATTTATGTTCATCAAAACATTCTATTCCATTAGGAGAGTAAAAAGTCAAGTATATGTGTGCAACATGTATAACCAAAAAAGGCCCATATCCAAAAGATGTAAGGAATTCCTTCCCATCAAAGAGTCTTGAATAGGCACTTCACAAAATGAGGATGGCTAATAAGCATGAAAAAAGGCTGAAAATCATTAATAATCATAGAAAACCATCTTGAAACCAAAATGAAACCATTACATAACCACCAACGAGAGTGGCTCAGGTTAAAGTAAACCCCAAACAGACAATACCAAGTGTAGTTGAGGGTGTGGAGTAAGGAGGGCTCAACACTGCTGGGGAGAGTGGCAACCACTTTGGAAAACAGTTTGGTGTTATATACTGGAGTAGAGCATATGCTCATCTTGTGACTCAGTATTTCCTCTCTTGGGCTTGTTCTCAATAGAAATGCATACATATGTGCAGAGGACATACATGAATAACAGCATATAATTTGGAAATCACCTCAATGTTCTTCAGCTGTAGATTGGGTAAATAAATATGCATGCAATATAATACTGTTCAGTAAGTGACCTTGGACAATGGCAATAAATAAATTGCAGGTTCATCCTGCAACATGGATGAGCCTAGTAAACAAAGTAAAAAAAGAAGTCACAAAATGTTAATACTCTATGAATTTCATTTATATGAATTTCAAAATCAGGTAAAAATTAAACTATTACAAGTCAAAGCAGTGGTTGCCTCAGAGCAAGGACAGAGTAATGATTGGGAGGAGACACCAGGTAATTTCTAGAGACTAGCATTGTTCTGGGTGGATGGATGCATGGGCCTTTGCTTTGAAATGATCTGTATATACATTTATATACTTTACTGTTTATTAAACTTAATAATAAAAAAGATTAAAAGAATGGTCATGGGGGGTGGTTCTTGAGAAAGAATATCAATACCATCTCTTGGTCTTTGGACTCTCAGCTTTACTAATTTCTTATCATACAGTGAGAATGAAAATAAAACAAGATAAAAAAAACTAAATCAGTAGGTTTTGCTACTTTCTCAATGAGGAGTATTATGTAAAAACTATTAATTCCTAAGTACTTCAGTCTAATGTTTTTTCTTAAAACTTTTCAGTATCAGAATGGAGTTTAATGATGTTGTTTGTTTTAACTAGGAGGTGCTAATGATGCTGGATAACTATGTGAGAGATTTCAAAGCATTGATTGACTGGATTCAACTTCAGGAAAAGCTAGAGAAGACAGATGCTCAAAGCAGGTAATGAACTTTGGTCTGTATAGCAGCCAGCAATTTCAAAAGCAGTCATTGAAGTTGACAGTTAACTTGACCTAAGCTTAACTTAAAACTTGTAAAAATCTAAAAGTTGGGATCTGTATTTCTTAATTCAGTTCAGTAACAGATATTTATTGGGTACCTACTAGTGCAAAGCACTTTTATCCAGTACAGAGATTTAATTGGTGAATATGATACATTGACTACTCTCATGAATTTGTAGTGTAAGGGTGGAATAAAATAGAGCTTATTATTACAAAAAAGCTATTACAGGTGTTCAGAACAGGACAGGGTCATTTCTCTTTTTTTTTTTTTTTTTTTTATTTATATATGAAATTTATTGTCAAATTGGTTTCCATACAACACCCAGTGCTCATCCCAAAAGGTGCCCTCCTCAATACCCATCACCCACCCTCTCCTCCCTCCCACCCCCCATCAACCCTCAGTTTGCTCTCAGTTCTCAACAGTCTCTTATGCTTTGGCTCTCTCCCACTCTAACCTCTTTTTTTTTTTTTTCCTTCCCCTCCCCCATGGGTTCCTGTTAAGTTTCTCAGGATCCACATAAGAGTGAAACCATATGGTATCTGTCTTTCTCTGTATGGCTTATTTCACTTAGCATCACACTCTCCAGTTCCATCCACGTTGCTACAAAAGGCCATATTTCATTTTTTCTCATTGCCACGTAGTATTCCATAGTGTATATAAACCACAATTTCTTTATCCATTCATCAGTTGATGGACATTTAGGCTCTTTCCATAAT